TCTAAATTATTATTAGGTCAACTTGGTTCATATCCAATGTAATTTGACTCTTGAACTTTAAATGATTCGATTGTACCCTCAATTACTCGTAATTATTTTGAATTTAATGCAATTGCATCCTTAAATGTTGAATTAAAATTATTTTTGTATGTTTGTTGTTGTTTTTGCAAATTACTAAGTAACATGAATAATAAAAAAAATGATTAAGGTAAGAAAGTGAAAAAAAAACATAAAATGAAATAAAAGAAAACAAATAACCAAGCTTGAAATTTTGGTTATGACATTTATAAAAGACAACGCATTCTAGATCGTCCACATTGAAGGAAAAACATCTTATGGAGGAGCAAAATAAACAATAAAATTATTTTTCTTTGATCTAAAATCTCGGGATCACTATTAAATCATATAATTATATTAAGTGATCATTTAGATCATTACATCTTGAAGTGTAGTAACAAGGTAGAGGATTGAATCATCCAAATGTTAGGTCTCTAGTAAAGATCCACATAGTTTAGACACTAATACAAGAGAAGTGACAAAAACAAGAGTGCTAGTTCCACTTTCTTTCTACTATAAAGATGCACACCTATTCTTTTTCTCTAGGGGAAAGTTTCGGTCGACTCACTCTCCCTTAATTTAGTGGTTTAATACATTTTTTTTTATAAAACCTCTTTTAGGTTTAATGAAACTTTCCTAAAAGTTCTAAAAAATGCCCCTTCATTTAAAATACTTCTTACAAGCTTTCACTTAAGCTTATTGGCCCAAAACCTTGGGCCAAAAAACTTAGCAATTAAATGGACTGTAAAAATAAGCTAGCTCGGGTATTTTAGGGAGGCCAATTTAGGAAAATATTTTTTAAATTACCCCTATTATTTTGGGAAGGCCAATTTAGGAAATTATTTTCTAAATTATCCTTATTGAATTTTGGGAAATAATTTTTTCCAAAATTCTCTCAATTCTTAAAGAATTGAAATTAATTATTTCAATTCCCATTTTCTTTCATAATTCTTCACTTTTCTTTATCCGAGTTAAAGCCAAGCTTGTGCATGACTCAATAGGCTTCTAGATATGTAGATAATACATCGAGAAGCGAAAGAAAATTCTTTTATCTTTTAATACATAAATCAATATTGGTTTTTAGTAAGGCATCATGATTACCTAATTATCAAGAAAGATTATTTAATCCGCAATAACCTTTCACGAGTATGGTTCACATACAATTCGGTTTTCATGTCAATTTATTATTATGTGATCTCAAACTTGGTTTGGTGTTTGTTTGATCATGATCAAATAAATTTTCTTCAATCTCCGAATGTCTTAGCTCTCAAGTAAACAAATCATGCTCTATTGGTATACTTTTACTATGGTCATAGATTCTTGAGTAAACATTCATTGAAGTGCAATGTGATAACTCCTTTAACATATAAGGAATGACATGTCCTATCTTAGTTATTTACTTATCTCTCTTAGATTCTTAATGTACCAAATGAATAACTCACATGCGAGTTTTTATGAAGACCATCGTAATGAATGTCAAAAATGACTAATCTTATAATGAGATAACTATAATAACTTCAAATAAAAAGACTACTTGTACCTAGCTTGTATTAGATTCCCATAGACTATACCAAATGGGCTTTCATGGCGAGTCATGTCTAGTGATATGTTCTCTAACATCATTCACCTATGTGCTTACTTAGGCATCGCCATATCGGTAGGTATGAGATCTCCTACTATTATCCTATAGTAAGAACATAACATACATAAGTCTTACCGCATACTCGTCAATGTCTAATTTTGACAATGCTATGACTTGGAACATTTAATGATTTTATTTAAGTGCATTGGTGTTTGTCTCACATCTATTGATCAATCACCATAGTAATGAACATCATATGGATTTCTATCTAATTCAATCAAGCTATAAATGATATGAATTCATAGGAAGACGCCTTTATTAATAAATATACAATGATACAATATTCAAATCACCTAAACTTGGTGGATCTAAGTCAACTATACTAATAGTCTCCCACTTATATTAGAGATAACCAATCATATCCCTAATGATCAAAGATCAAACAAGAGTTTCATATTTCTCCATAATGTCCAAAGGTTCATGATCTATAAGATAAACTTTTCAAAATTTCTCACATCAAATTTATATAAGAAATCTTTACATGGAGTAGAATGAAACGATGTACTCGAGTCTAGAATCTAAGACTCAATAAGACTATCCACACTTCAAATTAATGCATCCGTAATTTCATTAGTCGTTGCATATGCAAAGTCATCATCCCGATTCTTCTTTTTCTTAGGAGCCTTACATTGGTTTTTAGAGTGACTCTTCTTGTCGTAGTTCCAACAAGTGATCTCTTTGTAGTTTTTAAATTTCCCTTTGCTTTTTGATTTTGACTTATCATGATCATGATTTTACCTTGCTTGAAAGTCCCTTCCTTTGCTATCGGTACTCAAAATAGATCCCGAAGCTTCTTTTGATTCACTCCTATGAAGATCTTCATTGACTATAAAATCTCGGACATCATCCAAGTTTAGTTTTTCATTTTTTGATGAACTCCATATTGTTATTACTTGTTCCAAACCAACTATCAAATAGAGAAGATAGGAAAATCAATGCTTTGAATTCATCATCAAATACAATGCTTACCGACTCTAATTAACTAATAAACACATTAACTTCATTGATTTGATTAGTCACATATGCACCCTTTGCCATCTTCAAATTGAATAATTGGCGTATCAAAAATACCTTATTTGAGGCGAGATGGCTTCTCATACATATTTGACAACACCGTCATTGGATCTACTATGGTCTTTTCTTTCTTTCACAAAGTTGAAAGCAACATTTCACATCAAAGTTAGCCGAAAACACCCAAAGCTCGACGATCCAACAAAACCCAATCATCATCTTTCATCCCCTCCGGTTTCTTCCTTGATAAGGGCTTGTATAGCTTCTTTTGATATAGATAATCTTCAATCTCGCATATTCCGGAATCGAAGTCTTTGCCATCAAACTTATCAATCTTGATTTTTCCTTCTTCCGGCATCATTCCTCCTTATCCTACTAACTTAGGGCTCTAGTACTAGTTGTAAGGAAATGAATGAAGCAAAAAACTAAAGTAGAAAACAAGAACAATCACACAACACGAGAATTTTATGTGGTTCGATAATAGTACTTATTTTACGACCGAACTAGGATTTCTTATTATGTTTTGTCAAGTTGCGACTACAACTACAAGTGATGTTACCTCTATTCATATGTTGGACAACTAGAGTTATAAGAGAAAAAAAAAAAAAAGGTCTAATAGGCCTACACATCCGACCCAATATTATGTCAATTAGTAAGATCGTCGTGCTAGATCCGTATAGCATGTTATGCTCGTGGGACTCCATCCACATCAATTTCCATAACTTAATATATACAACTCGTTAAAAGTTTTTTCATCTCATATTTTATGGTTTTTGGCACAGCACTCAATCTATGAACAAAGTTGCTCAGTCTGAACCATGAACCGGAAACAAAGAAGCACAAAGCTGAAGAGGAATATGATCAACCATTTGAAACAGTCAAGACAAAACAGGAGGTAAAGAGGCCTAAAGCAAGGTGCGAATTCTTTCTGTTTTCGGTTGATATTATATCTCTTCTTGATTTAATACATGCAACTTCTAAAATTTTAAACACGCCGTTCACTTTCGTGCTTATGATGTAGCTTCATGTATATGCAGGCAGTGCTGGAGGAGTTTTTGGTCTGCAATCATCTATGAAAAAAGAGAGAAGACTGATCTCAAACCTTAGCTTCATATGCACCTTTGGGTCTTCGTGCAACTGCTAAACTATTGGTAATTACTCTATTATGCTGAGCACAATTGATGACTTGCTTTCTTATTTTATTACGTTAATTTGTTGTGTGCAAAACACTGACTTTGTTCTCAGCCATGTGTAATGACTCTTGCTTCAGATACGGGCATCACTTTAATTAGCTCATTCTCATATTCTCTCATTAAACTCTGAACATGTTATCAAGAAGCTTATTCATTGCATATTTAGTGTGAAGTTGCTTATGAGCTGTATTAGGCCATCATTGGCAAACAACTTTGTTCTTTTGCGGCAATGTGCGGATCAATCACCTACTCCTGTTCATATATTATCATTCATAAAATAATTAGTATTATTAGGAGTAAAAAAACTCTAATCTTATTTGAAAAATATGGTATTATTATGTATTTTTTAAAATTTTAATAATTTGATACCAAAATAAATCAATTTTAGAATATCCAAAATAAAAAAAAAGATTAAAATTCAGACGAGCTAGGCAAGCCAAACTGAAATTAAGTTGCAAAAAAATTGGTACATGCAAATAAACTAAACAGATTGCATATTAAATTGATAAATCAAAATATATTAGAAGAAAAAACTACAATTTTTTATTTTTTTGCAAAGCCCTACCATTAAATTTTCTATTTTAATAACCATGTTTTATTTTTTTTAATTTTTTGTTTGATTGCCAACAACTTACATAAAAGTATAAAATATTGATGTGTTTAGAATAAACTATCACATGGTAATTTTAGTTGTTATATAACAGTTTATATTATGAGGTAACTATGAGCATTAAAAAAATAAAAAATAAATAAAAATAAATAAAGCTTGAACATGAAAAGAAAGAATTTAATGATTATAACTAAAACACAAATAAATAAATAAAATTCAAATTCAAATTCAAATAGGCACCAAAACTGCACATTTTTCATATTTGTGAGATTGTTTTTTTTTTTTTAATATATATTTTCCTTATTTTTTTCTTTATTCTATTTTTCTAAAACCAAATAAAATTAGGTTTTAAAACTAAAAGGATTAATTAATCAGTTTGTTAAACTAAAAGACTACGTTATAATAATTCCCTTTATCCAGCTATCCATAATCTACAGAATAATAGTAAAAATAATAAAATAAAAACACAAAGGTTGAAGCTCTAACAATGGCGATTTCAGCATCACCGATAATTTCTCTACTAGGCATCAACATCAATACCAACCTTGCAGCCTCTTCTTCTTCTCCAAATCTCCCTCTCTTCAATCCCTCTTCCAAGCGCACCCATTCCCTTTCAACAAGTATCCTCTTCTCTTACAGTAAGCTCAAAATTCTTCCTCTATTTGCTTTTTCTTTTACTATTTTTTTATTGGGGGTTGTTCTTTAAATTGAACTTTGGGTTTCTTTGTGTGAATGTTTAACAAAATCAGGAAATGGAGTGACGAGTGAAGATAATGAGGCATTATTCGAAAGATACGGTCTTAATCCTAATCACTTCTCATCACGATCTTCTTCTTCGTCTTATTCTAAGGTAATAAGGTTTTCCTTTCTTTCTCTCTTGTTATGTTTATAATTTTTTTTTTCTTTCGAAAAACAATATTGTAGACAAAGAGGAGAAAGGAAATGCAAAACCCAGGTAGAAGAAAACAAGTCCATGAAGAGGAGGAGGAGGAGGAGAAGGAGAAGGAGAAGGATAAGATACAGAGGAACACTCATAGGTTACTTCAGGTATGTATTTTCTGGAATTTTATGTAATTGCTGTTATTTATCACAGTAGAGAAAGAAATACTATCAAGTTAATTATTGTTATATTATCATTATTTTCTTTGTATAAAAGAACTTGTGGTCTTGAAGGTGCTTGGAGGAAAGGCTAAAAGAAAGAAGTTGCTCTCTCCCAAAGGCATGGATGTGCGGCCAATGATGGAAGTCGTAAAAGGTTCCGCCTTCGATATGTTGCAGGTGCTGATACTACCACTTTTCGTGTATGTGTAGGCAGGCATTTTTAACTACCTTTTTAGTGGTTCATTTCGTATCGTTTTCCATTGTTTTGGTTTCTATAGGCAGCTGGTGGCTGTCCTGCCTCTCTAAGGCCTGGTCGGTGGTTAGACTTGTACAGTGGCACTGGTTCTGTTGGTATTGAAGCTATCAGTCGAGGATGTTCTGAGGTTTTTTTTTTTTTTTTTTTTTTTTTTTTTTTAACTAACTTATGTCGTTAGAGCTTATATTTTCGTTTTTGGGATTTTGGCAAACCAGCATTAGTTTTACTTTTCCGTGAGATTTTTCTACCGTCTTTTTTTTTTCCTGGTTCCCAGGTGCATTTTGTTGAGATGGATCCTTGGGTTGTTTCAAATGTCTTACAACCAAACTTGGAGTGGACTGGATTTCTTGATGTTTCAGTTATACATACTGTTCGCGTTGAAAGCTTTTTAAAGCGAGCAGAGCACTTTGTGGGTTTGTGCCCTTTATTCTCTCTCTCACAACATGAACAAAGTTACCTTCTTTCTTTTGATGTCTGGCATAAAACTGTGCACGTGGATTTCATTTTCAATCTTCATTTCTTCAGTCCCATGGTCTACATGCTAAGAGGAGATACTATAATAAATAATTTTTCTCTTATTATATTGAATAGTAGGGATTATATCAATTGCCTATCCCAAAAAGGATTTGACCTGGCTGAATTTCAAATTCTTTAAGGGTGCACCTTGATTTCTTCATATTTATTCTTTCGTTGGAAGAGAATAATGATTCACTTTAAGGCTTATTTCAGTGCTCACTTCTACGACTTTTCCTTCCCCTCTTTCTTTTATTTTCTTCTAGTTTAGTTACTCGGGTAGCCATGAATAAGCAAGCCATTGAACTAGGCTCAAGAAGGGTAGCTTGTAGGCTCACTCAGAAGAAGGTCATCACTTTGTAGAGCTGTTAATAAAGTGCTATAGCCCAACCTAAGGGATTTGAAGGGGTGCCCGTTCTTTCTGGAACATTGCTCATGAACTTGGCTTTGCCAGAAGCAACTAGCTGCCTCCTTTCCTCAGCTAAAGATGATCTGTCAGTTATCAGTAATTGATAAGTGTCCATAAATATAGGAACAAGAATTAATTATTTCTTCTCTCATATCCCTTTTTTCGAGTGAATCAAGTTATAATGTTTGTAGGTCAGGACATCACATTTGATTTCGTTAGTGTCACTCCTCCATATACAAAAGTTGACTACGGAATATTGATGGATCAAATTTCAAAATCACCCATAGTTGGAGAAGATACATTTATTGTAAGTGGTAATTTTGTTGAATTATTTAACTTGGTTTATACTCTTATGTGCAAACTTTTTGCAATGTTTTCCTTAACATCAAGAATTTCATGGTCTAGGTAGTAGAATATCCTCTAAGAACTGACATGTTCGATTCATGTGGATGCCTTGTAAAGGTATGGATTTCTATAATATTACGTGTCATGCATTGAACTTCACAAGCAATTTCTTCATCTATCAAGTTTAAACTGCTCCAGTTGGCACCCTCCTGTATACACCATTAACGATTATCTGCACCTCAAATCATTGTGAACTCTTTGAGATGATATGACTTATTGCACATTAAGAACAGGCTCGGTTATTAGCACAGTAAGGACTTCCAGCAACTTCTGTATGCTGAAGTGATTCTGTGCATGATAAGGATGGCATATCCTGTTAGTTAAATCTTGAGTAGCATATAATCTCATCCACAAAAGAGTTGTTGGTTAATCTGGTGACAAATAATTTTGTTCTTTATAGATTAGCTGTATGGTAGTGAGCTTATCTTACAGTTTTATCAATTATTTCTATGAAACTGCAGATAAATGACCGACGATTTGGTCGGACTCATTTGGCAATTTATGGACCAGAGTGGGCCCAGTAGAAGAGAAAGAAATAACAGTTTCAATAGTAGCAGAGCCAATACTAGAAGTGTACTAGTGGAAAGTGCTGATAGAAATGTGGGCTCAAAATGCTTTTGCATGAATCATCCTCTATCTTTGACTACTAAAATATATGTTGTAGCGTTCATCCTTGTTAACTTCAGGCAATTGAAACCAATTCTGGTGGATTTATGGTAAATTTCTGTGATCATGAACCTATAACTTTGTTATGGCATGCTTTTGATTTCTTTCACTTGTCTTGTTGCTAGTTCTGAAATTAGAAGTATGATTTTATTTCACAGGCTCATTCTTCTTGGTTTGTTGGTATTTCCTCTGCTGCTTAATTGAGCTTGCGAATATTAAGAGAGAGCTGCCTTCAGTCATGCTGATATTTCAGATTGTAAGGACTTCATAAACCAATTCTGTATTTGATAAATGGATCTTTTACTCTTATCATTACTTAGTTGTTGAAGTCAAATATGGATATTAGACCTCATTGTCTACATAATGTTTGCTTTTCGTGTTTAACTTAAGCTTCAAGGGCTAAGGCACTATATCAAGCATCCTATTCAGGATGTGTATCACTAATACACTGTTTTAGTGTGGCAGTCCAATAAATTGTGCTTTTTAGTGCAGCCGCACTTGATTCATTTTTAAGCATGGAGTCTATGTCAGACATGCTGTTTTGGATCTATATCTTGATTTATGCTTGTCCCAGTCTTAAGACATTAACTTGGTCATGCATTACCCCTCAGTTTTTATTTTATTTTTTTATTGAAGTATGTAACGGCTGTTATATAACGGTTTTGGAGCACTCCATTATGTTATTCAATGTTATGGATGCTTTGACACCATTTCACAAATATAACGGAAAATAACGGCATTGTCGTTATATAATGTTGTTATTTATTATTATATAACGACGTTATACTTTTTTAAAAAAATCAGCCATTTCAGCAATTCAATTCAGCCACAGTAGCATAGAGACAAACACTACGTGAGAGATTCAAAGTTTCAAAATAAGAATCAAATGCTAGAGTTGCAAGCTTGATTGAATAAATATTAAATTAGTTCTTTATTTTGAAAATTAAATTAGTTGTTTTTATTTGAAAAGCAATTATCTCGGTTACTTTTGTTCATTGTATGTTATTTTCTAATTTGTTTTCTTTTTGTTTAAAAAATAAAAAAATTAAAAATTAAATTTATATGATGAAAAAATAGACAAAAAAGAAAATATTTTGTCAAATAAAATATATCACATTAAATATGATCAAAAGATTAAATAATTAGTTTTTAAAATATTAAAAATTAATTAATTCATTTATTAAAACTAGGAAGACTAATGTATAAATTACTTGTGGTTGTTTATCTTGTGTGAAGGTGCAACAAATTCAATGGCTTGCAAATATAGGCTTTAATTGAGTAAATTATAAATTAGTTCTTTTAGTTCGGAAAAATGAAGTAGTTGGCCTTTTTTGTTTCAAAAGTCAATTTTTAGTCATATTTTTTAATTTTAAGATAATTTTTAATTTTTTTTCGTTTTTGTTTTAAAAATTAGAAAAAGAAAAAAATTACTTCGTAAAAAGATTGATGAAAAAAATGGTGAAATAAAATATATTACATTGAATATAGTCAACACTAAATAAATTTATATGAATTAGAATATGTTATTATTTATTAATATGCTTAATTAGAAAAATTGTTAAAAATATATAAATTTAAATAAATTTATTAAACATTTGCTAATGTATTTATGATATCGATTGTCGCAATCATTATTTTACTATCTCTATAAGTCATGATTTATGATCATTTTTTCAACCACAACAACTATTTAAAACTATACTCCCACTTCCTTTCTATTACTTAAGATATAAACTGTCACACTTCTTCAACGTTATACTATTAGTTAAAGACAATAACATTTTCAAATATTGATTTGAATAAGAGACTATTTTCCGGACCTCGAAGAGAGAAAAACCTTGACATTTTAGATTCCCTCATAAACCTAAGGATTCGAGCTTCTTTAAGTGAACATCCATGGTACGGACTAGCGACCTTTGGAATTTATGGAACGCTATGAGTATGGTAGAAGCTAAAGACAAATGTTGGCCTAATTTTGAGGTTTTTTAGGTTTAGTTCGATGTCAAATAAGCCAACGAACAAAACTAATAGGTTATGCCCATCATATAGAGATGATATTGGTAAAAAAAAATACCGTTTAGGCCACTTAAAATTGACTTTTACTATTTTTTTGAAATTTTTTTCTTATTTTTGGGGTTTTTTTTGTACTTGTTTGCTTTTTGAATTGCTTTAGGGTTTTGGTCGAATTTTCCTACTTATGTTTTACTTAGAGGTCGAAAAATACAACTTTTGATAGTTAATAAAGTTTTGTAAGAGAGTATCTTAGTTTATTCCAATCTTCGACATTCTTTGAATCAATAGAATTGAAGCCTATTTTCTAGTATATATGTGTAATTCAACAAGTTATAGTAGATCGACATCCGAATTTTAGATCAACGGTAATTATCTTCCATTAGTGAGCTTTCGTTATGTCAATTGATATCGAGTTCGGTTATCGCTTTTCGACCATGCTACTAAAGAGATAACAACAACGAGAGTGAGATATGGATGGGATCCGTGAGCGCACCGATTTGGTACGTTTAGAACAATGAGTTGAGCGGATGAATGATAGGATGGAATGATCCCTACAGGCATTGACACAATAGATGGGTGCGTTGATGAATATGGGCAAAGGCCACGGGAACTAGAACGAAATCCATTGGGAGGTGCTTGAGGCCGACCTTGATGATGAGGAGGATGATGAAAACGTCCCGGCCAGGGCGACAGAGAGTTCTTATGAAGGATTATGACAGGAAGTGATGGGAGAGTGGTATGCGGAAGAGATTCTCGAATTTTATGGTACCCTCAAAGTAGAAGAGTTTTAGGACTCGGTTATGGACGGTGAAGGAGATCCTAGAGTTTAAGGAGGTTCCAAAAGACAAAAAGGTGTCTTTAGTAGCCATCGGATTTAGAAAGAGGGTGACTGGTTGGTGAGAGTAAGCTGAAATTAACGCAAAACAGGATGGGTAAACCTAAGATTAATTCTTGAGAGAAGATGAAGAATTGCCTTCTTACCCTATAACTTTTCAAATTTAAGGTAGGGGACCCGATCAATAAATGATCATACCACCGAGTTTTACTAGTTATTAGCTTAGAACGAATTGTAAGAAATGGAGGATCGAGTTGGTGGCGAGATATTTTGGTGGTTAGAAACCACATGTTCGGAATTTTGTTAATATGTTTGACCAAGTGTGTCTTTTTGTCGCCTTTCGTAAAGCACTATAGGTTGATAAACAGATCCGTCGAAGTAGCTTTATTAACCCTTTCAAGCACGGGATGTAGTAGCAACACAATTGTTAATAGTGGTAGCAAGAACACCACAGTTTGTGGATAAAATAGTAGGGCGACTAGTATCAATATAAAGTGCTTTGGGTGTAGTCAAGTTGGCCATAAATAGTTCGAGTGTTGAAAGGTAAGAAAGAGAACACTTTTTGTTGATGTCGAAGATTATGATGAAGATGATGTAGAGTTGATCGGTCATCTAGTTTATGATGATAAAGATACCTCGAAAGAAGAGTTTGTGACGAGCGATGAAGGAGCAACACAAGTTGTTAAAGGTCTTGCTTAACTCTTAAAGTCGTCGATGATGATTGGCTAAGGAGTCATATTTTCCAATCCACCTACACAATTCGAGGTACGATATGTCGTTTTTTTGTTAGTGCTTGGTGCCCAAGATCCAACCATGTTTGGATAGGCTCATGTTAATGTATTATTGCATCATTTATTTTAATAATAATAAAGAAGTCATTTTACTAATTCTTATATTTACATATTGATAAATTCGGTAGAATTAGATAGAAGTCCTTATGATATGTTTTTGCAATAGTGATTGATTGAAAGATATGAGATAAACACCAATACATATAAATGATATCATCAAACGTCCCAAGTCGTAGCATTGTGAAGAATGGACATTGACAATATGTGGATACATTTATGAGTGCTATGCCCATGTTATATGATAGCAGTAGGACATCTCACACTTATTGGCGGGGTGATGCCAAAACAAGCATTCGGGTGATTTATGTTAGAAAACATATCACCGGACTTGACTCGTCATGAGAACCCATTTGGTTTTTTCTATGGGAATCTCATATAAGATGAGTACAAATGGTCTTTAGACTTAAAGTTGTCACGATTGTCTTATTGGAGGACTTATGCACTTTGACACGTTTCGATAGACTTATTAATGGGTTGTATGTGGGTGATTCGTTGGGTGCAAAAGGAATCTAATGGAGGTAGGTGTATGACTAAGATAAGACATGTTATTTCTTGTATGTCAAAAGAGTTATCACATTGCACTTCGATAAATGTCTACTCAAGAAATCTGTGGCCATAGTAGGAGTACACCAATAAAGCATAATTGGTTTATTTTAAGAGCTAAAACATTTGAAAATAAAAAAAAACTTATGTGATCATAATCAAACATGACTTATAACCAAGTTTGAGATCACACTCGTGATAAGTTGACATGAGGATTGAATTATATAGTAACTATGCTCATGAAAGATAATAATGGATTAACTAATCCTCCTAGAGAATTGAGTAGTCATGATGTCTTGTTAGAGGTCAATCTTGATTTATGTATCAAGAGATAAGAGAAGGGTCTTTTATTCTTGATACATTACCAATAAATCTAGGAGCTTATTGAGTCACACGCATAAGTTTAAATATTCACATGAGAAGCAAAGATATTGGAAAAGGGTTTTAATTATAGAAGTTTTCTTAAAAGGAAAGTTTCCTAAAATGAAAAGTTTCTTTAATTAAATAATTTTTCTAAAATGAAAAGTTTTTTATTTTAGAAATCGATTTCCTAATTTAGAAGTTAGTTTCAAATTTGAAAATAAAAATCCTAAAAGGAGAGGAGTTTCCTAATTTAGGTTAAAAGGTATTTTGAAAAGTTATTTCCTAATGTGGACCTCGCCACAATAATATAAGAATATTTATTTGGATAATCCAAATAAATTAATTCGGCTAAAATAGTTTTGGCCCATTAGGTTTAATTAAAAAAACTTGAGATATTTTGGTGGGAGGTTAAACATCAACTCTATTGGATAAGATTGAATGTTTTAAAAATAATAATCAAATAGTGCACATTTAAAATAACTCTTCATTCTCGAAGGATAAGGAAGTAACAACCTAGAGTCCTTAAAGAACTTGTGGCCACTCCTCTCCTTGTTCTTAGAGGACAAAGAAACTCTCCCCAAATAGATAAGAAAAG